TTAACTCATTTTGAGCCCACTTTTGCTACTCTGGGCTATTTGCAATAATGAAAAGTTGGAGTAACTTAAAATCAGTAGCTGTAAATCTGATTTTCAAAGATATTTGACAAGAACCCACAGTAATAAAATACATTTTTATATCATAATAGTTACATGCACATAAACTGAAAAAAGTATTTTGTTAAGTAATACTTTATTTCTTGTTTTGCTGTATCACATTTTCTGTTCTATCCTTTTTTTTTTTTAATTTTTTTTTTTTAAGATTTTTATTTATTTATTTGACAGAGACCTAGCAAGAGAGGGAACACAAATGGGGGCTGGTAGAGGGAGAAGCAGGCCTCCTGCAGAGCAGGGAGCCCAACGTGGGGCTCAATCCCAGGACCCCGGGATCATGACCTGAGCCGAAGACAGACGCCTAACAACTGAGCCACCCAGGCGCCCCACTGTCCTTTTTCTCAATGCTGATCCTGATCTACTAAATTGATTGCATGCACCCTAGGATTGGGACCTGCAAAGAGTCTATTCCTAGCTGTTGGTGGTGATTTTTTTTCTTTAAAAAGTACTTTCTGAAAAATTTCAGGGTTTTAGCTCTTTTTTCCCCTACTGACACATTCTTTAAAATCTTCTTATGGTTTCGTCTGTTGCCTTTTTAAAAAATAAAAGTTCCTATTATAGAAAAATTAACAAATACAGGCAAGCACACTAGAACGTAATTTTACCTACCCATCAACCAGAGACAATTAGATGAACTCAGTGGTTCTCAACTGAGGTGGGGAGTGGGGCAGTTATGCCTCCTTACGGAGCATTGAACAATGCCTGGACATATTTTTGATTGTGACGACTGGCAATGGGGTGCTACTGGCATCTGGTAGGTGAAGACCAAGGATGCTGCTAAACATCCAGCAGTGCCCCAGACAGACCCCCCTAGAACAAGGAATTATCCAGCCTCAAGTATCAGTAGTGCTGTGGTTGCAAAACCCTGGTTTAATTTAACACAATAGGATATAGATTCCATTTACATTTATAGACTGCTACATCTTTTCAATATAATATATAGTCCAGAGTATATTGGCTGAAATGAATCAAAAGTAGGAGGGGGAAAAAACCCTTAAGAACTGTAAAAGAGGAGCATCTGGGTGGCTCAGATGGCTAAGCGTCTGCCTTCGGCTCAGGTCATGGTCCCAGAGTCCTGGGATCGTGTCCCGCTCCCTGCTCCTTGGGAGCCTGCTTCTCCCTCTGCCTCTCTCTCTCTCTATCTCTCATGAATAAATAAATAAAATCAAAACTGTAAAAGAAGGACAGATGTGCTTAATAAGACCATGTAAATGGCTATAAAAATCACCTCTGTGAGTCAACAGAATCACCTTGATAACCAGTGTCTGGGGAGATAATCTGTGGTTGACTTTAGCACCTAACCCACAGCAAAGCTTGTGGGATGTCACTATATAATTTTCATTTCCTCAACAACAACCAAATCAGTTAATGTCTGTTAAGGAAACTGAGTTTTTACCTGGAAACAGAATTGAGTATACCCTGTAGGCAATTAGAATATTTTTAAAATTTTCTGATTTCCCCATCCACCTTAGGGAGTTGATAATTTTTTTTAGAGGGGAACTAGTTTAAATGACCAGAATTTGCATATATAGACTTTTATTATTGTACATATAGACTTTGTTGTTGTTCTTTTGTACCTTATTAGCCTTAAAGAATTTACTTAGTATAGATCTAGAGTTTGAATATTTGAAATTCAGTGATAAAATGTTACATTTTGAAAACCCTGATCAAATTTAAAGCATTTCACATTATGATCCAAATGGAAGACCTAGGCAGATACAATACAGTTACCCTAAAATATGCTTAAAATGATTTCCTTACAGTCTAAAGTTATATTTACTAATTAATCTGCTTTTTTAAATTTAAAAAGTACAATTAACTGCTGGAGAAAGTGATCTGTTCTTAGTATTTTATAACTAATAGGTTTTAGAGTAGGGTGTACAAGATGTAGTTGTTATTCCCATCATTTTTAAGAAACTTGAGATATGTAATAGAAACAGATCAACAGCACAATAGAAAAAGACAGCAGTAGATATAAATAAATAATTCACAGATGAAAGAAAAACAAATGGCCCTTTTACATAAGGGAACGTAAATGAAAATATGAATGAGAACTTTCTTTGGTTTGTTCTTGGATTGGCAAGGATGAGCGACCCTCTTGTCTGCTGCTTGTGAGCACTTAAACTTGTATTCCATTTTGGAGGATTAGTTTGGTGATACCTGTTAACAGTTAAATTTGTACACTTTTGACCCATCAGTTAAATTTTCAAGGAATTGTATCCAATAGAAATATACAAATGCACTAAGATTCAGTATCATATTAAGCCACTGGAACTTACCCAAATGTTAATCAGTGGGAAATAGGTTAAGAAAATTAGAGTACAGCCATACATGAAACTGTTACCTGTCTGTAAAAGAAATGAGATTGATTTCTATGCAATGATATGGAAAGATATTCAAGGTATATCAAGTGAGAAAAGATCTAGGAGTGGGACATTAACTTACCGGCATTACCTCTTGAAAATGTTTGAGGTCCCCCCCCCGGCTTTTCTAGAAGTGTAAAACAAACCTGTATTAGAAGTATACAATTTTAATTTATAAATTTTTTAAATGACAAAATGAAACTGTGTGAATGGAAGAGTACACATTGTGCTGTTCCATTAGGTAAAATTAAAGTAGAATTTGCTAAAAAGAAAAGTTCCAACATGTAAAGTGAAGCACTTGTGTGCTCTTGGCCATTTTAGACACTAGCCATCTGGAACAACCATATTGCTCTGGCCACTCATTGCTAATTTAAAAAAAAAAAAATCATTTGACTATTTGACTATACTAGTGCCTCGCGATTGCTGGTGGAATCAGACTGACACCATGAGCTGTGTCATCTAAAAGGTGCCTTACAAGGGCTTTCCATTCTCTTTTTATTCATTGCTAAACATAGATCTTAATGAATTTTGGACATTCTCTGGCCCTTTGATCTTTAAGCACAAGGAATAGTTTCAGAGTCGAGTAGGGACTTTGTCACAGAATTGAGTGAGGGGCAATAAAAAGGACGATTGTATTCTAGAACATGAAGGATAGAGGATACTTATAGTACAAGGAATAAGTGAAGCCCCTTCACAAGAAAAATGAGTAGAGCAGTAACTTCAAATTACACTTAATTTCTTTTTCATTAAATGTAAATTATTTGCTCTTCAAATACATTGTGTGCTAGAAAGAGAAAATCAGGAGACTAGGTTTTCAGTTTTGGATCTAATACCAGTAGTTTACTTAAGCACTGATCTCAGCAAGACTAAGCCTTCAAATAAGTGCTAGCTGCCAGTTTCTTTATATAGTTTCCCAGACTGTTTTGAGTCATCAGCCTAATATGGTGAATATCTGGGAATTTTGAAGGTAATGGGGTTTGTCTTAAGAACGTAGACAGTTTTAAGAGCAGGTGTAACTTAATTCCTCTTTCTGCTGTTCGTTAACCTGCACTTCCCACTACCTCTGGTTCCTTTTGTAGGGGACTGAGAGAAAAGTTCCTCTTGGTGTGGAGGGAAGTTGAACATACATGCGCGTGTACCAAGGAGAAGGAGCGAATGCAGAGAGCAGTGAAAAAGAGGAATAGAATAAAGGGGAAACTATATTGGCAGGGTGAATGGGAATGGAATGAAAAGCACTGGTCTTAGGCAAAACGAATCTTCCTCCTGTTAGGAGATAACTGGGTAAAGCTGTAGTTTGTTTTTTCCTCATCAGTTGGATGAGCGAAATTCAGAAAGTTGTCCTTTTCTTAGCTTTGAGAAACTTATCATCTAGAGGAGAGTTGCTGGGGACTGAGGAGAAAGAGAAGAGATAGATGATTTGAGGAAAGTGCTGAGGGTTTGGAATAGACTTAATGGTGGGGAGCAAATGATGAGTAAAAGGATTGCCCAGGATTGCAGGCCCATCTCAGGTTGAAAATAACGTCTAAAATCTTGGTTCAAAAAACAGGTCTCCAAAGAATTGATACTAAGGGCAATTTGTAGTTTGTATTTGTGTAATACAACTGGATTAAATTTTTTTTTCTGTTTTCATTCTGGCCTTTATTTCCATGTAATCTAAATCACTGATGTTTTAGTGTATTGAGGAACTCAGCTTGCTGGGTAGTGGAAGAAGAGAGTAGTTCTGGTTCTTCCCAGGACCCCTTGTGTGTTGCGACAGACTTGACTCTCACCCTCCCCAGTTCTTAATTATTCCATGACTCAGAAGATGTCCTGGTGGTGTGAGGGCCCAGAATACTGGAGTTATATTCAATCTTCTATAATATTTTCTTTGTATATAAGAGAAGATATAACTTGGTTAATACGGGCATACCTGTATCATTTAGCTTAAAATCAACCTTAAAGGTTAGTTGGTCATTAAGGCATTTTTAGCACAACTTTTTCAGACGCTGTCTAAACTGAGAAATTATTGAAGAAAACATGTTATAGCAACTTAAGAGTGGTAAAAGAATACATTATTTTTGTGCATTTTAGGGTTTTTCTTCTTCAAGGGTGTTTTTCCAACGAAGAGGGTTTTCTCCCTATGAAGAATATTCTTCACAATTGATGGATGCTAATTTCTTGTTTAAGTATACTAATATGGATCATTAGCTATAAAGAATAGTTTGGCTTATCATCTACCCTTTCCTTTACTAATGTAGTAAAAGGTCAGAAATGCTGGGCAGTCTTGGTTTAAGAATTGTTTGTTGCCTTTCCTAGTAAGTCTCTTCTGGGGAGGAACAGCCGTGTGCTCAGCCCTATTTGGGGAAACTACCTTTCTCTTTTCTTTCAGTGGGCATAAGCTCTCCATGGTTGGTTTTCCCATAGTGTGTATAAAATTAAGAGAGAAAACAAAAAAGATGAAAAGCTATAATTTTATAAAGTCTCAAAGAACTGGTATGTAGGTGAAAGGTTGACAGACTTAAACTTTTCTTGTTCTCTCTCCAGAAAACAGAGAATATGTATCACAGCAAGAGTTTCATTGGGTGTAAGAAAGCGTACTAGAATACGTGCTGGAGTACTGACATGCATCAAAATGTAGTAGGATCTATGAATTCAGTTTGTACTTATAATTTTGTCAAGTTTGTTATTTATATTTTAGCATTACCTGAAAAGTTTAATTACATTAAATCCCAAGGGATAGTCCCAGTACTTCCTTTAACTGATCTTTTCATAGGGAATTTTACTCTGATAATGATCCATCATTGGGACTTACAATTTATTTTTTTACACAGAGAATACTGAAATAGGTTCAGAGGTTCATTGACAAAAAAGTATTATTAAATACTGTGAAGTACTAATGTCATTGGTACAGAAATAGATAAATAGGATTCCCCTATGAAAATGAGAGCTTCTCTAAGAAAGTGAAGCATTTGGGTTTATTACTACTAGTATTATTTTAACTTGCTGGTTCATGCCACTGTATTCTGAGTGGGGGAAAAAAGGCAAAACTATCTCTTTTTAAACTGTTTTAAGAATTATCTGAGGATTAAAATTTAACTGGCGCTTCTCAGATACTTTTGTATTTAATGGTTATTGTATAAGGGATCTGTTACATATTTGAACAGTTTACATGACTTTGTAGCCTAACATTTCAAAATGCCAACTTTAGTGTTAAAATGAGGATATTTTACAAGCCCTCAAATGAGCAGTTTTAAACTTTGAGTCACAAGCCTTTTGGCAGGGGTATAATCCCTTTGAGAGTCCGAAGAGCCATGGGCCCTCTTCTCAGGAAAATCTGTATGTAATTTTGCCTCTAGGGGATTCTTCGAGTCCCTAGAAATCCATCTCTGGACACTCTCGGGTCAGTTTAAAACCTCACCTCAGGTTACCTCGTTGATATGAGAAATCTCTATTTACATACATTTGTAGGCATAGACATCTAACAAATCTTTTTGGAGAGTTCTTTAAAATCTATCTTGAGGATTATTTTAAAAAATAATATCCTATACTCTGGTTTCTCTTCAGATCGCATAAATCTTTCGCCTTTTAGTAAAAAATAATATCCTTAGTCTCAAAGGCATAGTCTTTGGAATTTTTTTCAAGCTAAGTGAACCATTAAAGACCTCCATTGCTACTTAAAATACCAAATGGGTGACTACTTCTCCACTTTTTCTTGGCAGAGATTTTCCTTTAGGATCTGTAGAAGAGTTTATGGTCACCAAAGGATGTAATGATTTTCATTAAGGGATTAAATTCCTTTACTTTGTGTAATAAAATCCTGATATACTTGAAGGCTGGCGGGAGGTAGTATTCTAATAGAATTTTCAGTTAACTCAGTATTGACCAGACGATTTTACACTGAAAATCTTTTCAGCCTGTTAGTAACAGTGCTTTTGGATTTTGTAGGATATAGGTCATTTTGATTTATCATTATATAAAGTTACTAAAAGAAATTGAATCGGAACTCCTAAGCACTGTTTAGAAGTTAAATGTTCAGACATAAACCAAAGAACAAAAACAAAAATTTAAGTTTCCTTTTCTTTACTGTGCACTAAACATTCTAGAAATCTGATTGTGTCTGTCAGTTTGTATACTGTGTAAGAATGTATGCATTTCTTTTGTAGCCACGTCATGAATATTTTAATGTCCCTGTGTACTAAATGACTACTCATCGTGTATGCAGAATTTCACAGAGGAAATAGAGAGCTGATATACTTATGAAAGAAAATATCCTCAGCTTGGTGACTATCTTGTATAATAGAGTATTTCAGAACTAATACCTTTCAATTGTAATTGTTTTTCCTGTCCTCATTTTTCTTTTTCTGTTTTATTTTCGTTCTATATGTGATCTTGATGTAGTTTAGTCCTGCTCGCAACTGGTTTAATTTCTACTTGAGATATGACCTATGAATGTTTGTTTTGAGTAGTATTTCATCTTAAACACATACACGTCATCATCTACGAACCATCTATGATTAAAATCTTGTAAGAGGAAAATTTAGCCATCATTAAAATGGTTCACCAAAGAAAATATAGTGGAAACGCTATGGCAAAATAAGCAGTGCAGTAACCTATATAGTGTGGCTTGGTCTTCAAAAGAAATTCTATTTCGTGTGACTGTATGACAGCCTATATGAGCTAACGTATTCTAATGTATCCCATAAAAGTGTATTTGGAAATAATTCCAGAAAGTAAAATCTGTACTTCACGTGGTATTTAAGGGTAAAACATTCACAGTTCTTAAGTTCGTGATGCACCTCTATTCAGTCACATTTACACTGGACAGTACTGAACAGTCCCTTGACAAATGATCAGAAAGCTGTGTCAGAAGTCTCTGCTGCAGTATCTCTTGTTCAATAGGAAAATTCTAATACTCAGTTTAAATACTAATATTTTACTAGTTATGCTTTTATAGTATATATTGTCTTCATTTAAATATTTAATGATTTGTTAACTCTGGTTTTATGTTAAGACTTTTAATATTGATCGTTGTGTATACCTTTAATAAAACATGCAACTTATTTTATTATAAAAGTACCAAATAATTCATTGTTCCTATCTAGAGAGTTTAAAGCCTACTAAGTAAGTTATCAGTAAACAAATTCAGAAGACGCTCAAACAGGTTTACCACTGAAAGAAGACCTGTGAAAATGTAGATTAGGCGGGTATGCAGAGCGGTCTGTTCCATTCTCTATGTCCTGCATTACATTTGAAGCACCTGGATGGGCTATCAAATGAGAAACTTAGCATTATACATTGAAAGCATTGGGAAACATTGGTCTTCCATTTCCATTTTTTTTCCTCTGTCCCTCCTCCCACCCTGCAAGATGTGATTCGTCTGGTTTTAATGCTGAATATGCATTGTCTTCTGCCGGTTTGCTTTGGATGCTGTGTGCTGAGCTGTAACAAGATGTTGCTTCTTTTGTTATTTGTATACAGCTGCTTGCTTTCAATTCATAGATTCTGAAACCGCTTTTCTTGCACGTCTAAAATAAAAGTATTGCATGTACTTTGTCTCATGTGAATGACTTTTTTCTTCTCCATCCCTTTTGACAAATAATATATTTTATATCTTGGTTTTTCCAGGTAATTTTATTAAATCGTGTAAAAAAAACAAAAGTGGTTAAGCTGGCAAATTCTGTTAAGTTTACAGTTCAGTACTGTTAAGTATGTTCACAGTGTTGTGCAACTGACGTCCAGAAATGTTTCCTCCTGTGAAACCGAAACTGTATCCATTAAACAACTCTCCATTTCCCTTCCCCTCAGCCCTTGGTAACCACCATTCTACTTTGTTTCTAGGAATGTGACTACTTTAGCTACCAGTCCTTCTAGGTAATTTTGAGCTACAGTTTCAGTGTCAACATGGGAAAATTACATTTTATACTATGGACACAATTTGTAAAAGAAACTAATGTACTATTTGTACAAGCCTCAAGGAGTAAAACGTATAAATGATTCCTTTAAGCCAGGCCTTTTAGAAAGGACACATATTTTAAATAATGCATATTTGATAAGTAACATGGTTCTCTTCATGAAATGCTATACAGGACTGCAGGCAGTAAGCACACAGGGGAAATGTGACCAGTTCCAGGGAATAGAATGAGAGCCATTTTTACATGGATAAGGGAAGAATGTTAGCTGTATAGAATTCAATGTAGGCATCTTTTAATAAATGCATTAAAGGTTGTATGGTGTTTTTAAAAACTATTTAACATTACAGTTGACCTATGAACAATGAGGGGGGGTTAGGAGCACTGACCCTCCCAGGCAGTTGAAAACCCACATATATAACGTTTGACTCCCCACAAACTTAATAGCCAACTGCTGACTGGAAACCTTACCGATAACCTCAACATTCCATTAACACATCTTTTGTGTATGTATTGTATACTGTATTCCTACAGTAAAGTAAGCTGGAGAAAAAATGTTAAGGAAAATACACTTACAGTACTGTATGGTAAAAAGCCTCCGTATAAAATGGACCTGTACAGTTCATATCCGTGTTGTTCAAGGGTTAAATGCAAATGATTATTTTTAAATCATTTCCTTTATTTAGGATGTATGTGATTCAGATGTCCATATATTTAGTGTTTAAAGCTAAACATAAATCAAAGAGTCTGGTTTACATCATTCTTGGGAGTGCTGCATCTTTTCCATTAGACTTTCTTTAAAAACTATCACGAAAACTCTGAGACATGCAAATAAAACAGTAGAAGGAACCTTCATGTGCACATCATTCAGCTTCAACACCCCTCAACTCAATACCTATAGTCATATGCTTGTTGCATTATCTGTTTCCCACCACCCCCTCCATTTTGGCCTCAGCATTTTAAAAGCAAGCCCTGGACATCATTTCATCTTCGATACTTCAGTATGTATCACCAAGAGACAGAAGTAACCACACACCCCCAAAATTAACAGTAACTCTCAACATCTTGTTCCTGGTTCAGTTTTTCCTAATTGCCTGAAAATTGCATTTCTGTAATTGGGTTTGTTAGAACCAGATGCCCACTAAGGCTCACATTGTATCTGGTTGATGTCTCTTAAGTCTTTTCATCTTTAACAACTCCTCTGCTTTTCTCCCCTGCCATTTTTTTTTTTTTTTTTTTAACCGAGTCACCCATGCTGTAGAATATCTTCCATTCTGTATTTGGTGGATTGTAATCTTGTGGCAATGTTTAACTTGTTTTCCTATCCCCTATATATATTTTGATGTAGCCTGGTTAGGGTGAGGTTTGATGTCGGGGGCAAGGGCAAGAATACTTCATAAAAACCCTTTTTTTTTTTCCCTACCAAAGCCGATTTTTACCCATTTTTCGTTAATAAACCTACTAAAAGATCATCATGTGAACTTTATACAGAGTTGGTTTATAATATTTTATTTAGTACTGAATGCTAAATACCTTCATGTAGGTAGGTCTCAATCGTGTAATGCTACCAGTTAACATTTTTTGAGCACTTTTCTAGAAGTCTGGCACTAAGCCTTCTCTCCCTTAAATGTCTATGTATGAAGGTAAGTACTGTGATCCTTGTTTTCCAAATCAGGAAACAGGCTAGAGTTTAATTTACTTAAGATTACTCCATGTAATGCTTATATACAATTAAATCTAATGTATGGATTTATGGTTTAATATTTTTCTTTTCCTTGTTTTGTGCTGTACCACAATTAGGATGCAAAAGTAAGTTATTTATTATTGGATGCTAAAAACTGCATTTTCTCCATTAAATTGTCGAATGCCTTTTAATTACAAAATTGTTGCAAGTAATACCTGAATTTGACCTGGTCCTGTTTTGTGATATGCACAATCAGCCACTTTGGAAAAAAAAAATTTTTTTTTAAAGATTTTATTTATTTATTTGAGAGAGAGAGAATGAGAGACAGAGAGAATGAGAGACAGAGAGCATGAGAGGGAGGAGGGTCAGAGGGAGAAGCAGGCTCCCTGCTGAGCAAGGAGCCCGATGCGGGACTCGATCCCGGGACTCCAGGATCATGACCTGAGCTGAAGGCAGTCGCTTAACCAACTGAGCCACCCAGGCGCCCCACTTTGGAAAATTTTTAATAATTTTTTTCTAGCTATGCCTGCTTTTTTTGTCTGCCTTTGACATTTAAAAATGAGTACTGGTTGTGGCATAAGCCAAAAAATGCCTTTGGTCCTAGACTATTCTTTCTATTATGTTGCCTCCCCTGAAGCCACTGGTTGCCCAGGGGAGGGCTGGGAAGGTGAGTTTCTGAAGGCGTGCTGCTGGGGACAGTTAAAGTCAAAAACTGAGTCAAGACCCAGAGGAAGACATTTCTATAAATACATGTGACCCAAATGATAAAAAACAAAAGCATGGAAAACAAAATTATGTGAAGATTCAGGAGAACTCTGGGTTTTCCCTGCTTTTTATTTCGGGGAGGCTTTCGATTTTAACACTAAGGTAACTTACCTTTCCTGTAGCTAATTCGATAGCAATGATTTCCTAAATTGCCAGTGGGTTTGCCTGCTTTTTGTGTGGCAGTAGCGGGGCCCAGCACATTGGCAGGTAATCAGTAGGTATTTGATGCATGCTCAAAATATCCTTCTGTGGTCTCTGACGTTTGGGGCGCAAAACCCTAAATAACTGCCTGCTCTCAGTATTCGAATGTGCCCAAACCAATGACTTGCTTGCACTGTTCTGTGAAACTTGCACATCCTTCCGTGTCAATTTCACATTCTCTAGCCTCCCCGGATCTGCTTACCAGAGTCTCACATTTTCCCTCCACAGGAAGCTGAAACCCCACGTAGTGTCCTTGAAGAAATTGGACTGACATAACTCTCCTCCCTTGTTGATGACTTCTTGTGGTCACACTGTAGATGGCCACTGCCTTCATGTCCATGTTAGCTAATGGTATAAGATGACGTCTTGTCAGTATTACTGTTTTGCTAAGCTGCTTCATTCAGGCCTACACAAAATTTTTTTTTAAAGGGAACTTCGGTTAATCAAGTGATAAGGGACTTAAATACGAATTAGAGTGATGCAGGAAAAGAAAGGTACCATTTCTGGATATTTTAAAGTTTACAGATCTGTTTCTCTCAATCTAATCATGTATCTATTAGAATGACACAATCAGGCAATATACGTTCATTAATTACCATCTTTGGCAAAGGACACTTAAATTATAATATGAAACCTGGTTTTATGAAACCAAAGACTAGTGTGTAGCATTTCAGCATATATGAGAATAAAGGGAATTGATACTCACATACCAAATGAATTAAAATTTAACTGTTCAAGACTTAAAAAAAAAAAAAAAAGGAACAAAATTTATACCATTATTTATTCCTTATTGGAAACTACATACTTAAAGGGAATACACAAATGACTAAATTGAAATGATGTGTTTTACACTAAAAATTATTTCTCCGGCTTTCCAAGCCGGGGTTGAGGAACAGAGATCGACTGTTTAATAGTGAGCACGTTGCTTTTAAGGCCAAGGAACATTCAACTCCTGAGACAAATTTTTTTTGTGGTCATAACCAGTTAGTGACTTGGATGGTTTTTGATGCCCCCAAATAAAAATGGATACATTGACTTACCGGAACTCTTCACAACATTACCTTACAGAAAAATGTGTTCTTCTCTTCACAAAATGTTGCTTAAGTCATTGTTTAAAGCACGAATGCTCCTCCTGGGGTGCTTGTTAACGGCCAAGTTTCTTTTGCTTCCCTCCACTTAACAAGTGCTGCAAACTTTAGGGCAGCTTCCTTCCCTTCCATGGCAATGCCTAGTTATCAGAAATCTTACAAAAGCAGACAGACAGCACGTTTCATGTAAAACAGAGTTGAATGAGGTAAAATGACATTAGTGGGCCCTGTGTTTTTTTAAAGCTATACAGTTGTTTCAGTGTCACTTTTATACATACTTCTGTATATGTAAACATGTCTTCGTGGTTTACACTTTCATTTGTATCTGCTGGGCTGGATTAAGCTTTGTTGTGATTGTGACCAATACATATTCAGGCCGTGTTAGCACTGTCTTTATCACATCACCAATTAGTTGTAATAAATGTTCAACATACACCACTGTAGTCTGTTTTTATCTTTCTCTTTGCAAAACTTTGTCAAACTATGGGGAGCTGCTGAAAGAATTTTAAATTTTTCTCAGTAAAATGTCGAAAATTCACCTCCATTTGAAGGTGGATGCTAAAAGCACACACAAGACAAATGATGGAAGATATAAGTTTTCATGTACTTAAAGCTCACTAAAAAATAATGTGGCTTCCACGCTGAGAGTTTATCTACACATTTATTTTCAATCAATAAATGCCGCTTTTAAAACCTTGATGCAGTTGACGTTTCTACTTTCTGAATGAGCAACTCTCGTTACTCCAGGTAATCAAAGGTATTGCAAATCAACCAGATCCCCAACCCCCAGCACCCCCCACCACCAGCACTGGAGGTGCTAGTACGCTCGCCAAAATGAACTGGTATTTACAAACTGCCGCCTAATAGAAGCAGCAACTCAAAGCTTTGGTTATGATAGTTAAGGGACCTCCTACTAACTGCAGATGGGAAATATTACATAGTAAAGCAAGGATATTAAAGAACAAGGCATCAACTACCATCAAGTTTCTAGTCTGCTAAAAAGATACTTGCAGACATGGAGCGTCTCCAACACTCATCTGGTTTATTCACTGAAAACAGGCCTGATGGGCTTCTGCTGGCACTGTAGAGCTGGAATGTTTAAATCATAAATAGTAATCAGGTTATAAGTTTAAGAAACAGTAATACATTTAAGTTCAAGATGGACATTTATCAGGATAATGGACCAGTCCACTGGCTGAAAACTGCTCTCTCCCTCCCTCCACACTGCAGTGCCCATGAACACTGGAGAGAAAGACCCCATCATCTCATAATTACCTTGAGCACAAGCTGGTGTTTATCCTATTTTGTCCTCCATGATCTATGAAGGCTATTCAGCTCGGGATACCACCTTTAATTATGCATATCTTGGCCGTATTTAGGGAAGTACTGAAAAATACTGGATTTAGTGATCGTTATTCAGCATTAGTGAATCCAGTAGGTAATTACAGAAAATTTTCAATCATTTTTAGGGTAAAGCAGGCATTTAAAATTGAACAAATCAATTTTTAAAGTAAAATGATTTCTGGACCATACTAATAGTACTTTTATAGGCTACATATTAAGAACTCTCACTTTCAACACATAACCTTACTCAGAAATCCCAATCTTGAAATTTCTTTCCCTTTCTGTTAGCTTCAATACTTTGTGCATCCTTAAGCCCTTATTTCCAAATCCCAAGTTGCCAAAAGCCACATACTCTGAAATTCAAGATGTCCAGTATGGCAATGGAAAGTTTACAAAGAAAATTAAAAACGTGTAAGTATAAGAGCATCTTTTCTTTTTTATGATCTGAAATCGAAGAATGGTATTTTTTGCCTTAAGCTTTTTTTTTAAACAGAAGGTTCTCTGACCACTTTTTAAATGAGAATTGCTTTAACACCAGGCAGATTCAGTAGCAATGACCCTCATTTTCCTAAAGATGACAGAAATAAGACTTACCTCTATCTCAACAGCTCTCCAACACACTATAAGAAAGATGCAGCCCCTCATGGAGAACCTCCAGCTGAGAAGGGGCTGTGAATACGGGACAGGAGGGAGAGGAAATAAACGGACTTTACCCTTTAAGTACTTTAAAACAAAAGGAATTTTAAAGTCAAAAAGCTGCTCAGCTATTGCATGTAGAAAAACCCAAGAGATTATTAATAAAGGGTAAACAACCAAATTTAACAGTCATTAAATACAGAAAAAGTGGCTGAGCCAATACGTAGAGAAAACAGTTAAACATAAAATTTACCAAATCGGCAAAGATGAACTTGGTGGTGTGAGAACAGCAAAACTTATTGTTGTAGCCTTTCTGGAGGGCAATTTGGAAACGCTTCAGGAGTCCTAGCTCTTGATGTAACATAATTTATCGTAAGGAAACGGTCAAAAATGTGTGAAAGTATTTAAGGAAATCCACAACAGGACTGTTTATAGCACTAGATTCTTTAATAGTGCAAAATTAAAGGTAATTTAAAATCCAACAATAGGGGTATGGTTGAATAAAGGGATAGGTCCACGCTGGGCAGTGAGAAAAAGAAGAGGCTTGATGAAATAGGAGGTTTGGTGGAGGAGAAAAAAACATTTTCAACTGCAGCCATATATGATCTTTCTGTGAAAAAAAAAAAAAAACCACGTGTGCAGACGCAGAAGAGGAGGAAATGAAGGCGTAAGCACTGCTCCCATGTTAACGTTCTCACTAAGGGTTAGGATTACAGGTGATTTCAGGCTATCCGTACACTGTAGGTCGTCTAGGTTTTCTATACCAAACACACTGCTTATCAGAGCATAAAGGCCTTTTTAAATAGGGTTCTGCCAGACTTGCTCAGCCATTGAGCTCAGAGCCCCCTAGGCCCCAGTATGAAGCAGCCCTCATAAAGAAGATCTACAATCATGTAAGAACAAAGTACGTTTATTTGCATTTGGGACTCTGAAGAATTCTGTCTCTGCTGCCTGACCTCCTCCTGCCACGGCTCCTGGACCTAGAGGAGCTCTGGCTCCCGCTGCCCCGGCCCCGGCTGCGGGCCCTTTTCCTTGCTCTACTTCGTGAAACGTGCCTCTCGCGACTCCTTGCCATGTGTTTGTGAGACTTCTGGCCCCGGCGCCTGCTTCTCCTTTTCCTCTCTGCTTCCCCGTTCCTCTTGTAGGAGTGCGATGGGCTAGGGCTCCGTCTCCTCCTGGGCCTCCCATAGTACTCCTCGTGGTGGCCCGTCCTGTCTCTCCTCTCCGAGCCCTTACCGAAGGAGGGGCCGGTCCGATCGGGAGACAGGTAGATGTCTCTGTTAGCCTCCCAAAACTCATTGTTGGGATTTCGGAACACATGCAGGAAGTTGCAGTGTTTTCCTCGTGGGCACTGCTGTATTTCAAACAAACCTGCAAGGGCACAGTGAGGAAACAGCATTTACTGCTGGCGCTTTACCCTTTTCAGAAGGCACACTGCCGATGTTCAGACGTGACAGGCCTATCTCCTCCTGCGCATTATCTCAAAGCGGCCTATGTAAAGTGATCTCATAGCTCTGGTTCCCAGAATTTCAAAACAATCGCAAACACTCTAACAAACGGCACTGTGAGCGGTAACGAAACCAGAAGTTTTCATTACGCCGATACCCTGGTCTCCGACAGGATGAGGGTGCGGGGTGCAACCGAACAAACGGTGACCACACCGGGGTTTTGTGTTTTGTTTTGTTTTTTTTAGGGTTTCACCGTCCCACCGATGGACGGTGTCGATCCCTAATTAACACTGAACACCCAGCCCTTGGGAGGCCCTGTGACAGGGCGCTCTGACAGCATGCTGGTGGCAGGACAGGGCTACTGGCCCAAAGAGAGCCTCTGAGAAGTGGACGGCTTAGTATTTTCTTTATACTTTAAGAAGAAGAGGGGAGCCTGGGTGGCTCCGTCGTTAAGCGTCTGCCTTCGGCTCAGGTCACGATCCCAGGGTCCTGGGATCGAGCCCCGCATCGGGCTCCCTGCTCCCTGGGAAGCCTGCTTCTCCCTCTCCCACTCCCCCTGCTTGTGTTCCCTATCTCGCTGTCTCTCTCTCTCTCTGTCAAATAAATAAATAAAATCTTAAAAAAAAAAACAACAAATCTAGGGGCGCCTGGGTGGCTCAGTCGTTAAGCGTCTGCCTTCGGCTCAGGTCACGATCCCAGGGTCCTGGGATCGAGCCCCGCATCGGGCTCCCTGCTTCGCGGGAAGCCTGCTTCTCCCTCTCCCACTCCCCCTGCTTGTGTTCCTGCTCTCGCTGTGTCTCTCTCTGTCAAATAAATAAAATCTTTAAAAAAAAAAAAGAAGAAGAAGAAGAGGGGAAACATTGGCCTAACGCTTTTAAATTTACCAAGTGCTTTTAATATGGAAGATTCTTGTCACAGGTGAAATCTATCTGAACAACTTAAGAGATCCTTTTGAGGCTTTCAAACTTTTTTTTTTAAGTCCGTAAATTCCCCAGATATGTAAAACAGTTAAAAGTGAAATCCCTCCCTACCACATATTATATACGAAAAGCCAAAATCGATCAGAGTCCTAAATGTAAGACATGAAACCATACAACTGTCTGAGGAAGACATACAAGTAAAATCTTTGTGGCACTGGGCTGAGCAATGGATTCTTAGGTATGACACCAAAAGTACAAACAAAAAAATATAGATAGACATAGATAGATAGATAAAATGGATTTCATCAAAATTATAAACTTTTGTACTTCACAGGACATCATCAAAGTGAACAGACAACCCACAGAATGGGAGAAAATATTAGCCAATCACGTCTGCAATAAGAGGCTTGTCTGTAGAACGGACCAAGCACTCTTACAACCCAATAATAAAAAGACAACCTAATTAACAATAGGCAAAGTATCTAGACATCTCTCCAAGGAAGATTTACAAATGGCCAATAATGAGGACACACAAAAAATGCTCAACATCATTAGTTACTTCGGAAAATAACAAAGCTGTTATTTAAAAAAAAAAAAAAAAGCACTGGGGTGCCTGGGTGGCTCAGTTGTTAAGCGTCTGCCTTCAGCTCAGGTCATGATCCCAGGGTCCTGGGATAGAGCCCCACATCGGGCTCCCTGCTCCGCGGGAAGCCTGCTTCTCCCTCTCCCACTCCCCTTGCTTGTGTTCCTGCTCTCGCTATCTCTGTCTCTGTCAAATAAATAAATAAGCAAGCAAGCAGGTAAAATAGTCTCCTGTTTTGGGGGAGGCCAATGTCACACTCAGAAGTACCTCACTGAAAACACACTGGATTCCCAGGAACTGACAAAAATAACTGCCTTCAGGGAAAAAAACAGTTCCGTCTCTTTCAGCCCACAAGCTTTCAAATTTCAGGCATAATGGTTCTTCTGCTTTCCAAAGCAAGGAATTCTAAATTCTTTTTTTTTTTTCCCCCCTTGAATCAATGGTTTTTTAACTGCCAGCATCCATTAAGACCAGGCTGCCAAAGATAAAGACTTTGTAAATTATATATTTTTTTAATAAGAGGTGTTAAGCAGGCAAGTGTAAAGTCAAGAAAAGTAAAGGGTAAGCAAAGTGCTCCCCTAAGGCATTGACAGTTCCAGCTCTTTGCTTCCAGAGTCATTCAACAATAAATAGTTTGGCTAAGCCCATCCAACAAAAATGAAAAAATAATGAGGCCTCCAAAACTACTGGCTACTCAAAGGACTGACTCATTCCTTGACTTGGCGGCCACAGTCCGATGAGTCAGTCTGACTGAATGCGCCCTGACCGGATCCTACAGCTATAATCAGTCTCCACTGCACGAAAGCATGTCTTTCAAGCAAGGCAGGCAATGTTATAACGTTTTAGGTGGCAAGGATGACAGAAAATTCATTAGGGATAAAGATGGGGGGGAAAACCCAGCTTGAGTGAGGGGAGCCAATGAGGAGAGATCACTTCCGCCCGTGCAACAAGGAAAAGGTGGCTTCCCACAAACACGACTCCTCAGGCTTCCTCAAGTTTTAAAGCCCAGTAATGAGAGTGAGAAGACGGGAATTCTAGCCCCAACTCTGTCACTGATACACTGTCACTTCAGTCACCTCGTCCATAAAGTGACCCGTAAGGTCTAGCACTGATCTAACACGCGAGCTTCTTGATATAACGATCTCTGCTCGTCTAGTTTGGGAGGCAAAAGCTATGTTTTACTCCTTTAAAAGATTGTTTTTTGGGGGCGCCTGGGTGGCTCAGCCGGTTGAGCATCTGACTCTTGATCTCAGCTCAGGTCTCGATCTCGGAGTCGTGAGTTCAAGCCCTGCATTGAACTTAAAAAAAAAGTGTTTTTTCCCTTAAGAATGTCCCTTTACACAACAGTGGAACCACTAGGGTCAAATCATTGTGTTGTATTTTACCACAAATTGCCATTTTCCATCGGGTCACTGGGCAGAATTCGCACTGGAGCTGCCGTCCTGCGTACCATCGTCCATTAAACAGGGAAAGGGCTGCTTGACATTCTTCTTCCCTTTAAAAAAAGCCACAAATTAAAGGATGCCTTTTACAGTAACTTTCTGTTATGGAGATGACCCCCACTGTTAATGAACCTTTTTACTAGTTTACCGTAGGACCACCAAGTTCACTGCTTTTGTACTAGGGAGTCCTCATGAGGGCATTCAAGCTCCTGAAAGCTCACAGTATATTCAGGAACGCTTTTTACTAACCCTCCCAGAGGTTCTGATGCATGGAAATCAGCTTGAGTCAAAGCAGCTTAAACTGAAAGACTGGACCATTAAAAATGCACAGGTGTTTCCCATTGTCAGAGCCTCTCCTTTCTTAGCAAGGATTGCTATTTTTCTTACTACAATGGTTAATTTAACCCATTAGCCACAGCATGTCCCAGACAAACAGCAGGACAAGCAGAAAGGCTATACCAACTGCTCTCTTAGGGGGCGGAAAGCACACCGAGATTACACGGGGCTTCCATTTCTTCTCTATGCTAGTTACCCCCTTTTCAGTTTGTATTTTAATTATTAAAACTATGTAAGTAAAAAGAATAACCATTGTAAAAGATTCAAAACTACGTTAAGTATCCAGCGAATGAAATACAAATGCGTTTTCAAAGTCCCCTCTCTATATATTTCTGTATCAGCTCTTAATATTTACATTTTTAAAAATACCATGCATATGAAAGCTATCTATTTAGTGGGAAAAACCCAGACAGCAACATAATTACAACACTATACCAAGACAAAATGTGAAGATGTTTATGTTCAGAATACTTACGATTGATACTGAACATACACATTGCCCCTCAGATGAGGTTCCAAGTTGCAGCTGACCTAAAGAGCAACGAAGAATTTGATCATAAAAAAAAAAAAAAAAAGGACAAGAAACCCTCCAGTCATCATAATGCACTTTGTCCAGGGGAACACTACCAAAAGTAGTTCTCACTGGAAGATTGCAAAACCCAGCTACTGTACCACTCCCAGGCCTGTTTAAGGCTTCCAGAAACGGCAGTGATACAGGCCCCAACTATGTGATCCCTGCTGATCCAGATTTGTTTTTCACAGACATGAAATGCTTCACACATACATAAAAATACAGAGAACAAAAATCAACCCATATATCTGGCACCCAGGTTCAACACCAACGCTTTCCATTTTTGATGAATGGTTAAATATGCAAAACATTAAAGACCCAGTTGAAAGCCTTCTGCCTATTCTCCCTTCCCCATCACAGGGATGAGCACACACTACTCTGAGGCTGGAGTATCCTTCACATTCCAAATGCAAACATACATACACAAATACATGTGCACCTATCTACACAGACACCAACACTCAGATCCATATGTACACAGACAGGCATATACACATACATCAAATGCGTGCCATCAGATCCTACACATATTAGGCATAGACGTGTCTATTATGAATACATGGGTATATTTATGTATACATATGCAAAGAAACTTGTATATATGTATTGATAAACAATGTACAGTATTGCTTTATACATTTTAAATTTTTACACAAATAAGGTATATTTTACATTCTTTTTTCACAGTATCATCACATAAACATAAGGACTCATTTTAACTGTACATTGGATATACCAAATCATCAAATTTATCTACTCCTCTAATGATGACTATCCAAGGTGCTTCCAATTTTTCATCAACAAACAGTGCTGCACTCAGCATTCCTGAACATGTCTCTGTGAGTAGAAGCATTTCTCTAGTATGCATAACCAGAAGCAGTGTGCCAACTTATAGGTTATATGTACTTCAAACTTCACTAGGTATTGATAAACTGCTCTCTGAAGTGGTTTTACTAATTGACACTTCCTTGCCCACTCCTGGTATTAACAGAATTTATACTTTTTTACTTGATAGGTGTGAATAATCTCACTTAATATGCACTGTTCTTATTACTAGTTAAGATTGAACATTTGATCATTTGCCTTCAAAAATGACAAATCTGGACACATAGATCAATGGAACAGAACAGAAAGCTTAGAAATAAGCCCACGATTATATGGTCAATTAATCTATGACAAAGGAGGCAAGAATATGCAATGGGAAAAAGACAGTCTCTTTTATAAATGTGCTGGGAAAACTGGTCAGCTACATGCAGAAGAATGAAACTGGACCACTTTCCTACACCATACATAAAAATAAACCCAAAATGGATTAAGGACCTAAATGTGAGACCTGAAACCATAAAGATCCTAGAAGAGAGCACAGGCAGTAACTTCTCGGACGTCGGCCCTAGCAACATTTTTCTAGATAGGTCTCCTGAAGCCAGGGAAACAAAAGCAAAACTAAACTATTGAGACTACATCAAACTAAAAAGCTTCTGCACAACAAAGGTAACAATCAACAAAACTTATTAATAAAAGGCAACCTATGGAATGGGAGAAGATATTTGCAAATGACATATTTGATAAAGGGTTAATATCCAAAACATATAAAGAACTTCTACAACTCAACACCCAAAAAACAAATAATCCAATTAAAAATGGGCAGAAGACATGAACATTTTTCCAAAGAAGACATCAAAATGGCCAAAAGACACATGAAAAGAAGCTCAACATCACTCATCATCAGGGAAATGCAAATCAAAGTCACAATGAGATATCACCTCACACCGGTCTGAATGGCTAAAATCGAGAAGATAAGAAACAAGTGTTGGCAAGGATGTAGAGAAAGGATGTAGAGAAAAAGGAACCCTCATGCACTGTTGGTGGGAATGCAAACTGGTGCAGTCACTGTGGAAAACACTATGGAGGTTCCTCAAAAAGTTAAAAATAGAATTACCATATGATCCAGTAATCGCACTACTGGGTATTCACCCGAAGAATAAGAAAACACTAATTCAAAAAGATACATGCACCCCTACGTGTATAGCAGCATCATTTACAATAGCCCAATTATGGAAACAGCCCCAGTGCCCATCGATAGATGAATGGGTAAAAAAGATGTGGTGTATATACAATGGAATATTACTAAAAGAATGAAATCCTGTCATTTGCAACAACATGGATGGAGCTAGAGAGTATAATGCTAAGTGAAATTAAGTCAGAGAAAGAGTGATTTCATTCATCTGTGGAATTTAAGAAAACAAGGGGGGAAAAAAAGAGACAAACTGAAAAACAGACTCTTAACTAGAGAACAAATGGATGGTTGCCAGAGGGGAGGTAGGTGGGGGATGGGTGAAAGAGGTGAAGGGGATTAATAGTACACTTATCTTGATGAGCACTGAGTAATGTAGAGAATTCTGGAATCACTATATTGTACACCTGAAACTAACACTGTATGTTAACCATACTGGAATTAAAATTTAAAAAAAGACAAATCTGATTTTTTTTTATTTAATGGTGTAAGAAGGTCCTCAAATATTGATACAAATGTTTAGCTTTTATTTCCAAAATGAATGTCTACAATGTTACAAATTTGTTCTACAGTATTTTTGTTAGAGTATCCAAAAAGAGGCACAATCCATAACGATAGTTTATAACACTGTCCTTAGAAGAAAGACTAATGATAGTTTATAACACCATCCTTGAAGTCTAAAAGGCCTCAGGAGGCCACATCAGTTGCACCAGCGACCTTAGAGATCATTTAACCCAGTGGTTCCCAAGGACCCATTAATTTTCCATGATGAATTCAATGTTTTGGAACTTTTCCTACTAAAAGTTTACCAAACAGCTTTCCATTTATAACTGCTAATGTGATTAGCATGAGCTTTGATGATAAAACTAAACCGAAGGGGGTAAAAAAAACAAAAACAAAAACCAAAGCACACTGTGGCTAGCAGGTGCAGCCTGTTCTAAGTAATGATTTCCACTAACCAGGTGGGAGTTCTGAAAGCAGCTCCATCACGGACTTCATAGAACCAGTATCATGTAGGGACCCCACAAGGGAAACCACTGATGGGGCCCAATTCCCTCCCTTTCAGGATGAGGCAAAAGCAAGAAGAGGTAAAGTGACACATTCAAAAGCACAGAGCTAGTCAAAGCATGCAGACCTCCCAGCTGGCCCTGCCATGCTAGAATCCGCTGCTTACGCTGGGAAGCAGTGTGAAGACCGGAAGGTGCATGCAACAGAAACAAAAGGTAAAAGGGAAAGAGAAATTTTAAAAGATTTTTTTTTTTTTTTAGATTTTGAACTCAGGGGCACCTGGGTGGCTGAGTCGGTTAAGCGTCTGCCTTCGGCTCAGGTCCTGATCCCGGAGTCCTGGGGTGGAGCCCTGCATCGGGCTCCCTGCTCGGCTAGGAGTCTACGCCATCTTCCTCTGCCCCTCCCCCCTGCTCCTGTTCTTTCTCTCTCTCTCCAATAACTAAAATCTTTTTTTTTTTTAAAGATTTTATTTATTTATTTGAGAGAGAGAGAATGAGAGAGAGAGAGCACATGAGAGGGGGGAGGGTCAGAGGGAGAAGCAGACTCCCTGCTGAGCAGGGAGCCCGATGCGGGACTCGATCCCGGGACTCCAGGATCATGACCTGAGTCGCAGGCAGTCGCTTAACCAACTGAGCCACCCAGGCGCCCCTCCAATCACTAAAATCTTTAAAGAAAATGAAAATTGTGAACCCAGTGGACAGAAGTATAGCTTCACATTTCACGACTGCCGCCGGCTGTGCCAGCTTTCCCGTCATTGCCACCTCGCAGGACAAAAACTCACGATTTTATTCTTTTTTTTCCTTCCCCTACCCTAACAAAGCAAACTCATCCGGGTTTGGGTCTGCTCGAGTCACAAAGTGGGAGGCCCCAGTACGCTAGGATTCAAGCCCGGGGTCCCGTGAGCAGCTGCTAGCACCTCTGCCTTCACTCTTGCCTTGAGGGATGTTTTCCAGTAACTGTGTACTCTGAATGGCTCTTTTTCACCCGGATGCTGCATCACAAGCCACGATTTGGGGAACACTATGTTCAGTACCGAGAGTACTGAATGAACACACTGTCAAAAAAAAAAAAAGGAATCAAGGTTTCTGTTCTTGGGTAGCTCCAGAAGAGTAAGTATCTCGGCCGGAAGGTGCAAGCAGGCGCCATCAACATCATGCAGCCAACTAAGTAAGCTGAGAGGTGTTACGCCGCGCGCACCGTGCACCGTGGCTCGGGGTGAGACCCACTACAAGGGAGGGAGGGGCTGCCTTCGCCGTCATATGCAGCCTCTAACTGAACGCTGGGACGGCTACCTGCAGGACCTTATGCAGCTCGGATTTCAGGTAGTCCCTCTGCCGTACAGGCAACGAGGACTGGTGGCAAGGGAGTCACATTTACCGAGCGCCTGGGGGCCCAACTTTGGACCAGGCCCTGTGCCATCGCACACGCCCCGCCCAGGCAGACAGCCTGTGCCCTAGCGCTTGCGTCCTCTAGGGCACTTTGGTGGGAAGTGAAGCAGTCCCCTTCTTCATGTGCATCGTGCACACCCACCTTGAACTGGATCACTTTCCCCACGTTCTTGAACTCAGGAAGCACATCATCATAGAAGTCCAGGAACTGCTGGTAGGTTTCCTCTTCACTGTACTCTAGGCTGGCATCCGGGTCATAGTCATCCCTTCTGCACTGCTCCATTCCAAACGTTGTGAACATGCTTTTAATAAGGAGTGTGGGGCTCGAGGATGGGAAATTGTGTTTACGTGAACACCTGCATGTGAAAGGAGAACTTAAATGCAGCACTCCAAGAGTTAGCAATCACACATCAAAAGCTCCCTTTAAACTTGGAGATAGAGACTCAAAGAACTTGCTTAATTGCAAGATAATAAACGCCATCCAGGTGTCAAATTGCAACACTTAAACTGCTCTAAGACTGACCGATACATATATTTGCTCTCATTAAGATGTAAAGGTGGGAATTATTTCCACATTCATATGCCATTCAGCAGCCTTTTGATGAACTTCACAAAGCCTTATATGTGTAAAAGCATAGGAAAAAAGAAGGTCCGCTGACATGGCAGATTGCGGTGACAGGCATGAGGATACCGTATGTGGGACTCAGGAGGAAGGTGAGAACAATACAATCCTGGGTCTATACGATCTTCAACTACCTCAGGGCTTAGAGAATAGGGTAATGTAAGAGTTCCGAGCCAACAGAATAGTTCAATTTCACATACGTATATATAGCATTTCGTATTTTTCATGGCATTTTTATATTTCTTCCTCTGATCTTCGCAACCCGTGAGGACAGTTGGGGCTAGTATTGTCCCCACTTTGCAAAGCGGGAAGCTGAGGCCTAGAGAAGCACACTTACCCAAGGCGCATGGCTGCTCAGAGAGGGCCAAGAGATGGGAGTTAACCTCCAGTCTAGTACCTGTTCACTATATATGATATGATACAGAGAATTCTCGCGTCATGAGGTGGCTAACCATTATGAAAAACAACTTTCTTTTCATAGTTTAAGCTGAACCAGGTTGTACCTGAGTCATTTAAGTCTTTTATATGAGTTTATTTACTTCCCTCTCCGAAAATGAGGGGAAAAAAAAATGCAGTTCAAGGTTCCAAACAGTCAGATTTTCCTGATTAGGTTTCCAGTTAAAAAACTGGTTAAGACAAAATTTTTAGGAAAAAATCCCCAGAACTAAGGAAGAAAAAAAGCTGCAGAAAAAGGCAAGTGCTAGAAAAATCAATCACCTCAAAATGACTAAATGTTTTCCTCCTCCTCACTTCCCATGTCTGATATACATCTGTGCCCCACGTGAGACACCTCAGGGTGCCCCCCGCACACCGCACCCGGCTCAGAGATGTGCAGTGTCCAGTCATGGGAAATGTTCTGTGCTCCAAAGGACCCTCCGAGATGATTCAGTAGAGACCTCGTGATGAGATCCGTCTTCCCAAGTATAGCTACCAACAGCACAAAGAGTGAAAGTTCAAGCTGACTGCAAGTGTCAGCGGTGCATCAGAATTTTACACGGAGGAAGCACATACAGATTTTAAACAAGGAACCAATTTAACAGGGTTAAAATTCTGCTCATGGGATTATTACATCTGAATGAACCTGGCTCTAGTTCCTAGGGTGTCAAGCGAGCATCTGAGTTTTGGAACAGAGCCCGAGTCCCTGTTTAGGGAAAATCCCCACTTGGCCTGGAGACAGTCCATACAATCTGTGTATATTCAGGGCTAGCCCTACAGCTCCTACTGAGAAGGCAGCTAAGACAAGAGATATTTGGGAAGGCAATCTATAGGTGTGATACCAAACCTGTGTGATTCCCAGAATCACCTGGAAAGAACTGAGATTTCTCAGGTTCTGTTCCAGACCATCTGTTAAGACCTGAGGGTGGGGAACCATATTTTCAGAGTAACTCCCCACTTGATCCCGAAGGTCAGCCATGTTTGGGAACCCCTGGTTTAGGCCATGCTATTTACTTATGATGCAGATATTTGAATCAAGTAAGACTGCCCTGAAATCACATAGTAAGACATTACCCTAGCCCAAGGTCAGCCAATGAACCATGTGATCTCCAGATGCCCCCTCAGGTAGAGCTAACGGACCCCTCTTTTTCTCTTCTTGAGGGAGCACTCGAGGTACCCACTACCCTTGTCCTTCACAGATTTCAAGTTACATGCTGAAATTGGGCTACAATAATTTATTGAAGGTCTCTATAAGAAACATTTTCGGGAAAATTACGTAAGCAGCTGTTCATAAAACATCTATCGAAGTTATCGTCCACCTCCTTCCTCAGTGTCTTTATGCAGTATTCCATGGGAGAAACATTTAGGATCTGATGCCTGGAAAATCTCAGTCTTTCCAGAGATACCACGCATTCTTCCTTTTTGGTAAGAACTAAATCTCTGCCTGGGCTGTGTTAAAATCCAGAGCCAAGTCTACTGCACACTCACAATAACTCCCTCTCTCCTCCTTTCCTGGCTTTCCATTTATTTCATTACACTTGGGGCAGTACATTATGAGCCCTCTTTCAATCACTTCTGGAAACCAGGGAGTTATGAATAACTACTCTAATAAGTTTTACCTTTCATCAGTGATAATGTTTTCAGGAGGGGAAAAAAAACGAACAACAACACAGAACTCCCTTCAAAGCTGTGACTCCAAGCAGTATCAACTCCAGAAAGGTCCTAGAATTGAACTGTGGACTAATTACAAAACCAGAACCACTAAAGAAATACTGGGGTGATGGAAGTGTCTGTCTGAAGTGACAAGCCTTAACAGGAAAGAACAGCTGTGTGATTCTGGAGCAAGTCACTGCGGCTCTCTGGAAAAGGGGAACGCTTCATTGTCTCAAGGGATGGTACATGGATTTTGTAACTGCTCATTTCATAGAATTTTATTTCACAATTCATCACTTGAATGATGAAAATACCCAAATTGCTCTTGTATTTTGATTGCTATGATGGTGAAATTTCATATGCCTATAAAAATACGAAGAAATGTTCACAAACTAATCTGCTCACTGTCACTATTTCCTTGGAATGACTCTCAGGGGTGGGTGGGAGAGCCTGGCGGCCCACTCTCCTTTCCACACACAAGCACTGTCCATTTAGGACTTTTCCCCTTCTCTCACTTGTGCCCATCAAAAGGAGAATTTAGAATCAGATGACCACAATCTTAGAATTCAAGGAAATGTTAGAGATACATCATAAACGAGGAATTCTGCAGCCAGAAAACCTTAAATGCCATTTGGTTCGGCTACCCGCACAAATGTGAATTTACATTGAGTCTCAATTGTCTTTCAAAGGTACCTCCCATGTTTTCTTTGGTGGGGGGTGTTTAACATCAATTATTACTATTTCTTGATGAAACTAAGCATATGTTCAGGAGACTTTTCTAAAGCTAAAAGGGAATAAAAAGTCTCTTCTCCTTTCCTTAGTTGCTAGTTCCTCAAGAGGAGGCGTTTGCTACTGACCACATCCTACGAATCCTTTCACAGGCTTCATACAACCCCAGCTATAAACTATAAAAGGAGCTACACATCCTACATGAGTGGCTCTCAGTCCTAGGGCTCATGAGAAACACCTGAGGACATTTCAAAAGTAAGGCCGCCCAAGTCTCAGAGATTTACTCAACCGGAGGTAGGACATAAATTTTTCAAAGCTTTCTAGAGGATTCTAACGTGTACCTGGGTTGAGAGCCACTGCTCTTAAAAAACATAAAAAAGCATGAGGGCTTGACTTAAAAAAGAAAAATAAGAGGAAGAGAGAGAAAGTTTGTATTTTTAAAGGACATGAAACTCATGGCTTGGATAATTTTATGAATAAAATAACATGACTGACAACATACAGTTTTCTCATTAAATACATATGAATTTGCCTACTCATAGCCCTTTCAGGATTAATAGGACCCTAAGAAATGATAAGATCTCTTCTGCAGGATGCTTAGTAATCATTAGATTTCGTCTTGGATAGATTCATTCACCATTATGAATTATTTTTCTCCTTTGAGTTGTTCATTCATAAATAAGCCAAATGATAAACATCACCAATGCCTGGCATATTATCAAGTATTTAAATATTTGCTAAATGAATGAAGACATTGACACTTAGTTCTCTACATGAATGCCTTGTTTCAAAAACACTGAGCCATGGGACGCCTGGGTAGCTCAGTCGGTTAAGCGTCTGCCTTCAGCTCAGGTCATGATCCCAGGGTCCTGGGATCGAGTCCCGCATCGGGCTCCCTGTTCAGCGGGGAGTCTGCTTCTCCCTCTGCCTGCTTCTCCCCCTGCTTGTGTGTGCTCTCTCTCTCTCTCTCTGGCAAATAAATAAAATCTTAAAAAAAAAAAAAAAGAAGAGAAAAAAACAACACTGAGCCAAAAAAGGCGGGCAACGGAGTGTCTCAGAGAATAAGGGCAACCATAACAAAATGAAAATACCAGCGACCACTCAGGACAGTGTCTGCCGTATGCCCACCACGGTGTCCGGGCTTGCCCTTCATCCACTCCTTGCAGCCTCACCACCTCCTTCGAAAGCACAGAAGGCTTAAGTAACTTGCCCAAAGGGACAGCTGCTCAAGTCTGCTTCTGCACCCCGGCTCTGTTCCTGAGTCAGAGCCGACAGACTGAGAATGGGGCATTAAAATACTTTTCCTCACTCACTCGGGTCCTGTCTTTCACAGATATCCCTTTGGGCATGCCAATTTTTCAAAGCCTCTTTTGTGCACAGTGTTGGCCACTCAGAAGTAAGTAAGTAAGTAAGTAAATAAATAAAGCCAAGCTGCTCCTCCGGTCTCTTGAAATATGTTCTTTCCCCATCCAAGCTGTCCCACGTGGACTCACGCAAGCACAGGAAGACAAAAAGCACAAGGTCTCTGGGAAGCTGTGGAAGGAATGCAAAGGAAGCCCCAGGAGAGAAGTCGGCTGAGCCCGCCGGGGGAACAGAGGAGTAATGCAACCGGAGAAGCAGCAAGGATGCAGCCAACGGGGACCTTTCAAACTCAAGCCCGTGGTGCTCCCAAAGAGAGAACTGAACAACCTCCACATTCTGATGCACTGAATTCTGACATGATAAAGCAAAATTAGTTACCTATCTCCAAATCTGCACGCTCCTGTTTTACTGTAGAATGGACAATTAGCTCGATCTTTCTCCATTATCCTTAAGTCCATGGGTGGCTCTGGGTTTTGCCATGTGGCACCATTTTCCAACTGTTGAAAATAACCATGACTTTATTGGTGGTGTAAAAATCTATGATGAACTCGATGTTTAAAATGTATTCAAATTATTTTGGTCAAAAAAAAAAAATAGATTTAAGAATATACACATTTAGGTCATAACACGCAATCGAGACTTCACAATCGTCCAGAGACATGCACTGTGTCTTTCTTGGCTCCCAGTCATTGCCCAGGACTGGGCACCGCTGTGGCTACGGGAAGCAGTCACCGAGGTCTCCCTGCTGCCCATCCATTCTGAATGGGGTCAAAGAACTTGTCAGGGAACCACCCCTGAGAGAGACCCAAGTTGCTCTGTAGCAAGTTCAACCGTTTATTTTGGGACAACAGCGCGTGGTGTTGCTCGCACACACTTTAAGGACTATAAGTACAGTCCATGGGGCGGGGGGTGGGGGGAGGCCACAGGGGACACAACTTGATACCATTTGCTTTTGTTCATCAAAAACCTCTTGCTGCTGTTGCTGCTGTAAAAATCACAGAGCTGCAGAAGTGATTCTGATATTCAGACGTGACCTACATAGCTTACCACAAAATTAACATTCTACTAGAGGGACGGTTTTTAAAGAAATGTTCACTGGTCTCAAATTCTGAATGAAAGGTTTGAAAATACCTCATTTTCAGCCTGCTCCAGCATCTTCTGCACAGCTTCCTACAAATGGTGCAAACATAGAACTAATGAAAACCTGCAAGTCAGGAAAGTCACGTCTGGTTTCTCTGGTTAAGAAGCTCATGTGTATTAAAAAAAAAACAAAAAACACACGCCAAAGGCTTCAGGTTCTAATTTACTTTCTACAGCACAGATCTTCTGAAAAGCTTTCAAAGGACATATAGCTGAGAATGTTTATTCAAATAGGACATTTATTAGCTCCCATTGCAAAACACAGTCTTATAATAGTTTCAGTAACAGTAATATTTAGCATATTTGATCATATATACCACATTCTAGCTTTCAAGATGAGTGATATAGTATCAGTGAATTATTATATAATGCAATGCTTAGATCAAACATCAACACTTAACAGATGTTAAATTATGACATGAACAGTAGTAATTCGGGTTGATGAAAAAATCTCAAACTTTTCAGTAAGGCAAAGGAGTCTTGCAATATACTAGTAAATTCTGAGCTCACTGTCATTTAAAAGTTTTAAATTATTCTTCACAGACTTCTCTTCCTTAGCTTCTTAAAGCATTACATAAAAGACTCCTCTGTCTAGCTGCTTGAGAATGCGACCCGGTCACGTGGGGTTCCTGGCTAACTTCACGTGCTCACAACGCAGCTCTGGGTCTTCTTCACCCCCATCCACCTGAACGCCCCGCATCTCAGTAACTGATGCTGCCATTCATTTGCCCACTTGTTCGGACTAACAACCTAAGAAGCAGAACTGGAATTCCTCTCCTTTTCCTTGCCCTCCCTGCCCATTCAGTCTCCAAGCCAGGGCCCCACCACCTCTCCCGCCACACACCCCAGCTCTGAGTACTTATCCTTACTAAGCACTCCCCTCATCCAAACCGCCGTCATGTCCTACCCGGAACAGTGGCCTTCTAACTGCTCATTCTATTTTCATTCCTGTCTTCTGGGTGACCACTCCCTGCTCTCCCCCCCTTCTTTATATACAAAAGTTAGAATGATCTGGTAAAGGTATAGATATAAATTAAATGAAGTCAAACCCTGCTTAAAAACCCCGCAATGGCTTCCCATGACACTTAACATAAAACCCAAACTCCTCCTTCCAGTCCACGAGGCCTTACATGAGCTGACCCTGCCTACCTTCCTGACCCCCTCCCTCACCCCCACCGCTCTCTCCTTTGGTCTCCAAGATTCAGGCACCCTGACATCTTTTCAGCTCCATGCTCAGGCCTCTTCCCTCTGCCTGGACCCCTTCTCCCCAAGATCTTTGCACTCAGATATCAGCTCAAACATCGGCTCCTTGGACAAGTCTTCCTTGACCAGGCAATCTAAAGAAGTACATCCCTATCCCAATCACTATCACATGACTCTATCTATTTCTTTATAGCACTTAACATTATCTCATAGCACTTAAAATTATCTTTTTTGCTTACTTATCATCTGGCTCCCCCATCTAAAAAACTCAAGGAGAGCAGGTACTATGTTTTTCACTGCTCTTATCCCTCTACTAGAAAAGTACCTAGCACACAGCAGAAACATGGATTGCATATCCCTTTATACATGCTTACAGCCTACCTCATTTAACCTGCCTCTCCATAATGTCTCACCTGACTTCCTTTGAAACAAAAGCCTTAGCTTTTTTAAAAGAAGCCTTTGCTTTTATCTGATGCCAGAAAGACTTCAATTGAGAACATTCTACTGTTAAAATGAGAATCGATTACTCTATAAAAACAATGACAAGCTCCCAACAACTTCCCTGCCCCCTAAAAAGCTAGCATGGTCTTGCCTCATCTGTAACGCAGTGCTCAAATGAAAGTGTTAAAAATCTGCACTGGAGGGGCGCCTGGGTGGCTCAGTCAGTTGAGCGTCCAGCTCTCGGTTTCGGCTCAGGTCATGATCTCATGGGTCATGGGATCGAGCCCTGCGTCAGGCTCCAAGCTCAGCAGGCAGTCTGCTTGAGGATTCTCTCCCTCTACCCCTTCCTCTGCTCGCGTACTCTCTCTCACATGTGCTCTTTGTCTCTCTAAAATGAATAAATAAATCTTAAAAAAAAATTTGCATTGGAATTAACTGATGACCTGACACACAAAAAACAAAGTTTGTGGAGGCTGCTTCTACCCTATCATGACTAGGATATAAACAAATGAATTTTTCTCCATGAAAACTACCCACTTTTATGCTATTCAAACTTGGGAATATGATAGAAAAGATACATCCTGAGGAAATCAGTCAAGGAATGATGAGCTGTGGGATCTTGGAAATAAATACACTGTATTAAGGAATAGCAGCAAAATATACCAAAGCAATCTTTAAAAGATCCTGAAAGATACATACATATACTTATAGATTCTTTTTTCTGATGAGTAACTATGTGTTAGCTACAACGGCCTTTATAGCCAAGTTGGAAAGGAAGTCAAGATTTAGCAACAAAAAATATTTCCTAATTCCTCAATATTGGAGTTCCTGATTTTTTTTCAGTCAATTCATTCTTGCTGACATGTTATAAGCAGTTAAATGTCTTATTAACTCAGTAAATGTGAACACAACACAAAATATTCTCTAAATGGGTCAACCCATATACAACAATCTCAGAAAAACACTTTGGTGTGAATGTAAAGAGCTAGAGCAAAAATACATTCGCTCTGGGGTGGGACAAAGTGGCAAGCAGGGGCCAGCTGCCTGTTTTTCAAAATAAAACAACAGAGTTTTATTGGAACACAGCCACAACCATTTATTTACATATTATCTATGGCTATTTTCATGCCACACCAACAGAGTTGGATGCTTGCAACAGAGACCATACACACCATAAAGCCCCAAATTTTTACTCTCTGGCCTTTACAGGGAAAGTTTGCCAATGTCTGGTATAAACAGGCAGATGGGTAGTTGAAGGAAAAACTTCACTGCACAGACCCAAAGAAGAGATAAGGGAACTCTAACGTGTATCTGTACTAAAAACAGGACTCTTCCTAGACAGGAAAACAAAGCCCAAACCCTGATATGCCTACAGCTCATTCTTCAGCCCCAGCCCACACCGTATCTGTGCACCAAGAGGATACGCAGTGCGTTTATCCTCCTGTGACAGGAATCACCTCTCTTTCTCTCTTCTCCTGTAGCTTCTGTTCCTCCTCTTCTCTCTCCTTTCTCTGCTGCTCTTCCCATTCTTCCTTTAATTTTCTCTTTACCGGAAAAAAGAAAGAGAAGGAACGGTAATTCTTGTCACTCACTTTTTGAAAACATTTAACATATGGGGCAGATAAATGAAAAACTTTACCACTGGTAAAAGGGGTACTACCCATTTTTTTAAGTTCAAGATCCGTAACTCTGAGAGTTATTTTGGTTAACTAATTAGTTAGTTGGCCATCTGATTAATATCGTACCTCTTGTTCTTCCTGCCGTTTTCTAGCTGCCTCTTCCTTTTCCCTCTTTCTTCTGAATTCTTCTTGTGCCTTCTGCTCCCGAAGTAACCACGCCTCATGTAATTTTTGCCTACAATGTAATGATGTAATCAAATAAAAGAAATGAGCACTAGTTTACAATTACATACACACAATGATAGCAAAATGACATATTTGGGAATGATTAAGCTATCACGAAAGGTATTTTCTAGAAAGCAGTTAAGTGGAGGGTGAGAGGAACAGAAGATATGAGTAGTGATCTTGGAAAAGCACTCTGTCTCAGTAGCTCTCTTCCTAGAGGGTAACAGCTGAAAATCCCTACTTCTACATTTCCTATCGGTGACATCTTTTACATAGAACGAGGACACTACAATTTTCCCTTTAGGTTGACCATCAGGATGTTTAGGTGTCAATAAAGATGACAGCAAGTCTCAAGGCACCATCTAGCTTTTCACGTTCAGAAGGTCCTACCCTTCCTCTTCTATGCATTTTACAAGCGGTACCCGCGAGACCGCAGCACTATGGAAACCTGGCATCTGCCACCCTCTATCTTTGCCCTGCTCCTCTAGACAGTTAAGAGTCCGCCGTGGCTTGCCCCTAGCATGTAAACTGCTCAAAAAAAGGAAATAAAACTCTATTTGAGCATGTTTTAAAATAAAGGAAGCTACAGGTTTTAAGATGACAAGGAGTTATACAAATAAATTAGCAGGTGTCTAGTTTATTTTTAAAAATGACCAATTACAAAAAGTGATGTTACCTTAAAATGGCAAGCATCTCAGACATTAATACCACAAGTTTCTAAATGAAAGATGGGTTACATTTCTTTTTCTTTTTTTAAGATTTTATTTATTTATTTGAGAGAGAGCACACAAGGAGGGGGAGCAGCATGCAGAGGGAGAGGGAGAAGCAGGCTCCCTGCCAGGCTCGATCCCAGGACCCTGAGATCATGACCTGAGTTGAAGGCAGCTGCTTAACCGACTAAGCCACCCAGGTGCCCCGTGATGGGTTACATTTCAAAAGTTCAAAAGCCAATCAGGTGTTTAGAACTTAGATTGCATTTTCCCACTGAATTTGTAAAAGGGAAGTGAAATACGAGAAACAGTTCTGTATTACTTCAGCAACATTAGGCATTACATAAGGTTTTAGGTATAGCCTGGGGAACCTATTCACAATTTCAAATACCCTATGGGAAAAGAGATTTCATTTCCAACTCCAGATTTCCGGAGTGTATCTTTTCGCCATGGTGGAGGCAGGCACATCACATAGGTCAATGGTCCTGTGCGTGTTGTGGGTTATGTATAGATGTTTCAGTGTGTAGAATTCTGACTTAGAAGTCTTTTGAGGAACATATTAATTGTATATAAACCGAACCAAAGCGCATATAAATCTAAGACCTCAAAAGAGTCAAGGTTAGAGAGTTGAAATGTTGGTAACTTGCATATACCGCTGAGAAGCAGAACTGAAGAACTCCCCCGCAATGGGAGGACTTGAGGAGCATCTAGCCTGGCTTCCAGCAGTGTCAGGCTGTGCCCTGGGGTTGACCCCAGTCCTCCATCCGCCCCCTGCCCCGTTAAAATGCCTGCCTGACAAAGCTCAAAGCTGCTGGGAAAACGGACTCTCCGCTCTAGTCAAAACAGGACCATTGGCCCCTGCCCTCGCTCTCTTAGAGCATTTACTAAAAACGGCTTATAACTGTGACTCGGTCTCTCTCAAGGACCTGAGAGCCCTTTCTTGGAAATGTAATCTTTTTTTTTTTTTTTTTAAAGATTTTATTTATTTATTTGTGAGAGAGAGAATGAGAGACAGAGAGCACGAGAGGGAGGAGGGTCAGAGGGAGAAGCAGACTCCCCGCTGAGCAGGGAGCCCGATGCGGGACTCGATCCCGGGACTCCAGGATCATGACCCGAGCCGAAGGCAGTCGCTTAACCGACTGAGCCACCCAGGCGCCCTCTTGGAAATGTAATCTTTAAGAAGGAGAAGGCCCCTGTGTCCCAGCCTCTGTGAAAGGCTAGAATCCTAACTTCCCTAACTGCCTGCTAACAAGTGCAGCTGGCCCAGTCCCATTTACCCTGCCCAACCCTCTGTCCTTCCTCCCCTCTCTAGTTCCCCTGCACCCTTGCACTCCTCCCACACTCTCCCTTGTAAAGGCGCTGATCGCCCCTACACAAATCCAAATGGAGCTCTTGCCCCTACAGTCCGGAGTAACGCAATCCAAGCTGACCTCGCCACTTTATCGTCTGCCTGCATTATTCTCGGAGGCTATACATCTGCTTTAAGGCAGTACATAAAGCCGTACGGTATTTCCACAGAATTCATTCTCTTGCTTTTCAACAACAAACTATCATGCGACTGGTACAGGAACAAAGATCAAAGGAACACAAAGATCTGGTTACCTGATTTAAAAGAAGCACCTCAAATTAAATGGGAAAACAACAAAAATGACCCCTATTTCAACCATATACATCATCTTCATCATAACAGAAATCTCTAACAACCAGAGTTATTACAGCATCTCCTATCTACTAACACTAGGTTAAGTGCATATACTTGCCACCTCATTTCATCTCCCCAATTCCATGAGGTAGGTACTAGGATTGATTTTTTTTCCATTTTTATCTCTATATTTAAGACAAGGAAATTGAAGCTTAGAGAGATAAGCAACTTGAACACAGCTAGTTAAGTGGCAGGGCCAGGACTAGAAGGCAGTTCTGGCTCAATCGACTCCATGTTCTCAATCACTACTACATTTTCTCCTGGCATTTTGCTGATTGCACCTATTTATGTGCTTAGGTGGAGAACAGGAGTGAATTACATGCAAAGCAGCAACATTCCCTACTAAACATACCACTAAATAGCTAGAGAGTGTCTATAAAGTTTTCTTACTCCTTTTAAACATATTTTTTTATTGTGGCAAAATATACATACCATAAAATTTAGGATTTTAACCATTTTTAAGTGTACGGTTGAGTAGCATTAAGCACATTAACATTATTGTGCACGGTTTGGGAAAAAAACTACCCCCTGAAAAATACTGAGAGAAATAGAAGATTTTCATCATCTTGGGATGGAGGAGGCCTTTTACAGTCCAGACACCACAGGCAGATATCATGATGAAAGTTGATGACGTGAAAATCAAATTATGATAGGTAATGCCATAAGCCAAGTTAGGACTGATGACAAATGAGAAAAACATACATCACACATATGACAGATAAAGGATGAATATCCTTAATCAGTAATAACCTTGCTTACAAAATGTAAAAAAATGTATCCCAAAAGAGAAAGGTGCAATACTTAAGCAATCTAAAATAGGTAATAAAATATATTAAAAAATACACAAACTTACTAATTAAGAAATGTACATTTGAAACAATGAAATGCAACTTTTCACTACAGGAGTTTTAAAACTTGATGCCTGGTGTGAGTGAAGAAGGTATGGGGATACGGGAACCTTGCTTCACTTCTGGAAGGGCTGCAAACTGGGGTGCCCTTTCCACCCAACCATCGACATTTTACATGTACTTATCCTTTGATCCCAACAATTTCATTTCTAGGCATCTTCCTGAGGAAATAATAGGACAATTACCAAGGATATATAAGCATGGATACTCATGGCAACTTTTCATAGAATTGTAAAAATATGTGAGTATAAATTAATAGTAAATAATAGGAAATAGGAAATTCATGGTAAATACTAAGTGAATGTTATTTAATAGTAAATAACCCAAATCTCCATCAGTAGAGAACTACAGATTATGAATCAAGAATAAATTATGCTACATCCATACAATGGACACTATGTTGCCACTGTAATGGTTGAATCGGGTACCTGAATCAACACTGAAATACAGGTCCTACATATTAAGCAAAAAAAGCAATTAAAATGCATAAATAACCTCCCATTATAGATATAAACACATACAGTACATCTACACTCTTATATTTTTAACAGCGGCTATCTTTGGGTATGCTGAATTCATTGAAGCCCTTTCACTCTTTATACTTCAATTTCTTTTTCAAAAACATTTCGAATTAGCAAAAATAGTGAAAAATACTCCCATTTAGAAAAATGAGAACATCTCATTTTAGTCTGTCAGGTGGAGATTTAAATATTTTATCCAGGGTTATTTTATAAGACCTGTTTTGTACAAGGTGTTATAAAGAAGACCTGTACTAGTTCATAAAGACTTACATTATTTTTCTTTTTATTATTTTTTTTTCTTAAGTGGCATGGAGCCCAACACGAGGCTTGAACTCACGACCCTGAGATCAACACCTGAGCTGAGATCAAGAGTCAGATGCCCAATGAACTGAACCACCCAGGTGCCCCAAGACTTATAATATTCAAATAAAACAACTGGATTCATGAGGAAGTTCTCCGATCACTGCTGACCTCTCTATCTCCAACAGCTTCTCTTCTTCTAGGTGTTGTTCTTCAATAAAAGCATCCTCCTCCTCCTTTTGTGAGAGTCCTAAGGAAATTTAAAATGTTTTATTAAATGATCCATATATTGTAAAACCTTGGTCAATGATTCAGGGGGAAAAAAAGATAAAATCTAGTCTTTACAGATATGGTACGAATCTGTTTTTAAAGCCTTCTAATAAGGGCTCCAACTAACCAAATTTGAAACAATTTGAAACCCAAGAAGAACAATAATGGTAGATAACACATTCAATTTAAAAAACTAATTGATGGGGGCGTCTGCCTTCGGCTCAGGTCATGATCCCAGGGTCCTGGGATCGAGCCCCACATCAGGCTCCCTGCTCAGCGGGAAGTCCGCTTCTCCCTCTCCCCCTGCTTGTGTTCCCTCTCTCACTGTGTCTCTCTCTGTCAAATAAATAAAATCTTCAAAAAAAAAAAAATAGATTTAAGAATATACACATTTAGGTCATAACACGCAATCGAGACTTCACAATCGTCCAGAGACATGCACTGTGTCTTT